GGAAATAGATACATTGACTAATTCTAAACAACTTTTATTCTATAGAGTTTTTTCACTAAATCAATACTTTTTAAGTTAACTGCGAGTGAAAATGTTTACTTTTGAAAATAAAATTAATGTTTTAAGAAGGTTTTTCACAAATAACTCAAAAAGTAATTATTTGTTGAAAAAAATATTTTGAACAAAAATGTTGTTTATAAAATAACAAAAATAATAGTGTACTTATGAAAGTAAACCCAGTAGAAGCAAAGTAGGCCCGTGAAAAGTAGGTTCTTATTTGTCATATTCCAAGTCGAATATTTCAACTTGAAAAAACCAAAAAATGAAGCTTTTTTCAGGAAAAATGTATTAAAACTTTTTGAAAGTGTTTAAAAAGCCTGATTTTATTTTTTTTTAATTTCTACCAAGTAACCGAGTTACTTTCAAAATAATTTTGGTCCCTTTTTTGATAAAAAAATTGTGAGAATCACCCCTCCGATTAGCACTCCAAATACAATTAATTGTTATCGCTTTACAATTTATTTTGTTTATGTATTGTTTACATGATCACCAAGTTTAATTGGTTCAAAGTGCTTATTTTTGAAGAAAAAAATGGTTTTAAAGTAAAAGAAAAATTTTTGGAAAAAATGTCTTTCAAGTATTAATGATACGAAAAATCCTGAAGAGCAAAAAAAATAGGTTAAGTTATTGCTGTTCAAAATTTGCGTATACTCGTGATTAGTGACTCATTCAACCTTTTAAAAATCAGTGTTTAAAAAAATAATTTACATGATCTTATTGCCCTTAAAAAACCTGCAAAATTGTATTTAAGTACTTCGTAAAAGCTAACCAAGTAAAAAGCAATCACATATCTTAGGACATACCAGAAAGGGCTGTATACTGGAGCATTGTAAGATACATATGCTATTAACCCTCTTACTGTAAGAGGTCCCTGAGGGCCCCTTCGCTTAATATTTATTTAAGCCACAGGTTAAGTCAGGTAGCCGCAAACTGTTTTGAATCTCCCAAACTAGTTCGTCTAGAGACGTTTCTAATGCATTCTAAATTCATTAAACCTTATCGTTACATTTTTCTCTCAGTTTTGTGTGACAGGTCGAGGTGAACGCAGAACAATTACCTCTCATTTAAAAAAAATTTTTGAAGTAAAATTATGGTACTGCAAATAATCTGAAGTTAGTGAAAACATTTTTTATGAGTGGTTTAAAGCTTCAAGTTTCACTATATATTGGAAGATGCTGCTCCAAATCAACGAAAACAAGACGAAATATATGTATATGAGCCGCAATAACCAAAGCAGACACAGAATCGGTCAGAACATCACCATCGATGACTTTAGCTTTGAGCACGTTAGAGAATTCAACTATCTTGAAACAACAATAACGGATCACAAGAAATAAACAACAGGATTCAGGCCGGTAACAAATGTCTTTTTGCCCTCCAAAACCTTATAAAATCGAAACAACTAACACGACGTACGAAGATACAGGTCTATAAAACAATCATACGACAAGTTGTGATGTATGGAAGCGAAACGTGGACGATAACAAAGGCAAACGAAGAGAGACTATGTGTTTGGGAAAGAAAAATCCTAAGGAAGATCTTTCTGTGCTGGATGAATCATCAGGACAATATAGGATAAGAACTAACAAAGAGCTCGAAGAACTTTATACCCAGGCGCCAACATCATAAAAGAAATAAAGTCCAGAAGACTCCAATGGGCATGACACCTCAGAAGACATTCTGACAAACGAACAGTAAGACTGGTGTGGGAGGAAGTCCCAACTGGAAGGACACCACGCGGACGCCCTCGTCTCCGGTGGCGAGATAATATAGCAGAAGATCTAAGCACTATGTGCGTGGAGAATTGGATGGAGGTTACTCAAGACAGAAAACAGTGGAGGCATGTTGCCGAGTCTGCTAAAACCCACGAAGGGTTGTAACACCACGGATCATCATCATCAAGTATTCTGAGTGTGCTTTAGAAACGAAAATAAAAAGGGTTCCTAAAGGACCCCTTGTCGGTTTATGTGAAGTTTCGTCTCACTTTGTTGATATTGTAGTAGTGTTGTTTCCCAATGTTTCATCAATTATTTGTATGTTTTGCTTCTATAAATGGTAGGCAATCTCAACTGGAGAAAAAAAAGTTTAATTTGTCGGTAATGACCGAAGATGAAATCCAAGAACTTATGGACTCTGTTGAAACGGATTCGTCAGAAGGTGATTATAGCAGTAATGATCCAGACATCGACCCAGATTACGAGCCAGATGACATGATTACAGAGTGTATCCGTGAAATGCAAGCAGGTGAAACAAGCGTCTACTTTATGCAAAACGTGAAAATTATTTACGAAAGCAATTCCATCTACTTCAGCCGCCGATGCCACACATGCTGTAAATTTTAAGCCAACGAAACGACCCCGTTCGCCATTATCTATAATGGAAAATCCTGGCCCTGTGATCACGCCTTCTATTGGTGGTTTTACTGGGAGAGGTAATAATTATATATCCATACTTCAGCAATAGTGTACTAAGTATTTTTATTCTTATTTCCAAGTGCCTTTCCAAGGAGATGCACGGTTGCCATCGTCAATAAATGAACTGAAAACACCAATAAAACTCTTCAATTATTTCTTCACAAAAAAGAGATTATTGATTTGGTGGCCAATGAAACGAATGCTGCAGCTCGTCAAGAAAATATTAATACAAAATTCGCCACGAGTGGTGAGGAGATTCTGAAATTTATCGGAGTGTTGATGATGTACATGTCGAATTTATCGATACCCTAATCTCGAGAGCTACTGGAGCAAAAACGCGTTCGCCCTAATTCAGAAGGCAGTGCCTGTAAAAAAGTTTATGGAAATGAAGAAACACTTATCGTTTCAATATGAAAGGCAGCACATTCGACAAGGTCAGCCAGGCTATGATCCACGTCTTTTCCTTTGTTAGTTTATTTACGTGCAAGAGGAATCTATAGCCTTGGTAAATACGAACAAATAGAATCCTAAACTGTAAGTTTCCGTTGTATAAGGATATCAAAGGTGAAGAAAGAGGATATTCTGTTGAATATGTTGGATATGCGTACGCTGTTGATTTCAGTACAATTTCAGGGAAAGATACCAAGAACGTGCTGGCATCGACTTACGTTGGCATTGAGCCGTTTTTGAGAGCAAATCCAAATCAACATTGCAAAAGTAACACGATATGATAAAAAGAAATATATCGAAGTCAACTGTCCGCAGATAATTCGCGAATACAACAGACGGGTATGGGATGAGTCGATCTGATGAATGAATTGATGGGTCGCTACCATAGGTATTAGAGCGAAAATACATAGTGCAATGGTTCGAATTTTCTATCACTTGATTGATATGGCTAAAATAGGTATAAGACAAACGGTTATAATATTTTGTAGCGTCGCATACATGCTGAAAAATGTAATGATTCAAGTAATATTTCAGCGGAACATGAAAAGTTGTTAGAACAAATTGCTGCTTCTCTCGTTGTATTCAGTGAAAAACATGTACTTGGCCGATCTTCAACATCAAAATAACAATCGAGCTCACCGCAACCATACCTACTGGCATTGGAAAAAAAGTAAAACATCCCATTGATAACATTCGCTTCGATGGTATTGATCAGTTTCCACTTTGGCTCAACAAAGAGAGTGGTAAAAAAATGTAAATTTTGCAAAATGTCGAAAACTCAATGTGTGTAGCAAATGTTTCTAATTTATGTTGTTCTAATGCCAAAAACTCTTTTTATAATTATCACCATAAAAAATAGTGTATGACTAAGTGCCAATTTTGATTTATTGCCATTGAGCTACCTAGTTCATTTGATATTTAGTTGTTGATTTTTTGCTAGAATATCTGCCTTTTAGGATAATTTTTGGTTAAGATGGAAACCCAAATATTTCGGTTTATTTTTTACTATAGTGGGTTGATTGTTGAATTGCATCGTGATAGAAGTTATAATCGTTGATATATTTCAATCAACGTTAGAATAGATTGTTAAATTCTGACTTGTAGATACAAGGTATCTTTGGTCACCACACAGCTACGAAAAGTATGCCCTCTCCAGGGTTGCCAGGTGAAAATTTTTGTCCTCCCTAAATTGAACATTTAAATATCCCTAGAAATCCCTAGATTGGAATAAATGTATATATGGTTGCCTATTTCTGAATAAAATTATGGGATGTATTGATAGTTGCCTAATATAATAACATTGATATAAAAAAATTGTTGTTTTATACCTTTATTTCATAAACAGTACAATAGCCGTCATTTGAATAAATTTAACAAAAACGGAATAACGTACGTATTCTTTACATATTTACTTAATAAAATTAATACAAAATACAACTTGAAGAGAAATGAAACGGTGAAGCATAGAATTTTATTTATTGATTTTCACGAATCCTGTAACTCACCCGATTCCTACTGTAAATCCCCTAATTATTTATTTTATAAAAGCTAGGACTTTTGTAAATCTATTTGACAGAAAACTATTTGGTAGTATAAAATAAAGATTCCAAGAACGTGGACAGTTAGCGACATCTGATAATAGAATCTTTAGTAGTTTACTGTTAGTTTAATTAGTTGTAATGAAAGATCGTGTATTTAATACTGTTAATACGAAGTGGTTTATACCTGAATTAAAGAAAATGTTATTATAATAGGCCTACGTGGGTAAATATTTGAGCCGGTCAAAAATCCCTAGATTTTACACTAAATATCAAAAAAATCCCTTTGTCCCTTTTATACTGAAATATCCCTAGATTCGGGATAAATCCCTAGACCTGGCAGCCTTGGCCCTCTCGACAAACATTAACAAACATGTACAATGTAATGTAATAGACTAATAGCTCCCTGCTCCCATCTCCATCTCGCTGTGTTTCACAACAACATAAATACATAGCCTCGTCTTTTTTAATTATTGGGATTTAGATTCATGCTATTAACACTAAAAAGAAGAAGGGTTTACAGAATGACAGTAATGACATTGTCTCCTTAACCATACTTTTATTCCAATTCCAAATTATGTTTTCATTACCAATATGAATATTTATGTTATATACTTTACATACAAATAAATAATACTAGATGTAACGATACGTAGAAGTGTGTATCTCTCAATAAGTCCTGTTGTATATATGAATCCTTTTAGAATTATAAATTTAAAAATCAGTCATGATTGAGGAAGAACTTAATGCTTTATCAGACTTGGCTTCAATTCATGCAGATCCTCCGATAATGAGAGATATATGCTCTAAGTGCCAGTAAGTTCAAAAATATTTACATGTTTGCACATAAATATTGAATATCACATTTTTTAGTCGTCCTTCCACAGTTTGCTATTGTAAATGGATACCAGTTCCACCTATGTGCCCAAAAAGTAGTATTATACTGTTACAACACCCAGCAGAAGAAAAGAGGTGCCTTAGAACTGCCACTATGTTACAATTAGGTTTAGATTCTTCAAAATGCCTTGTATTTAAGGGTAAACGCTTCCCAGGAAAGTATAATATTCTGGAAGATATATTAACTGCTTCAAATACACTATTGCTTTATCCAAGCAAAACGGCTGTAGACATTAGAGAAGTGCTGAAAGAAAATTCTCATAAGTTTTATAATATAGTACTTATAGATGGTACTTGGCCACAAGCAAAAGCAATATACACAGGTAGTTCAATTTTACATAATATTAAACAAATTAAGATTCTTAATAATGATACAAGTAATTATATAATTAGAACTCAGCCTACTGATGGTTGTTTGAGTACTATAGAAACAGCAGCTTTAACATTGAGTCTCTTAGAAAATGATCATAGCTACAGAGACAAGTTATTGGAGCCTCTTAAAGCGATGTGTGAGTTTCAGTTACAGAATGGGGCTGTTTCACACCAAAGCAAGGAATTTAGGATTAAAAACAATACATATCCTAAGCTGATTGGGAAAAGGTTAAATAGAGTATTGAGAGAAGCAGAAAATATGTCTAATAATTGTGATAAGGGTTCATGAAATTTTATTATAAAATTGAAAATTATCTTATAGACTTTTTTATTAAATATTTATGCAGTTTATCAAGTTTTATTTCAATTTGATTTCCAGCAAAATAATTGTAGATGAAAAGTAACTGGAGAAAATTAATAAATGTTGTTATATAATAAGTACCATTGATAGTACAGGACCATAATATTATTAAGGACAACACAGTTTTATTATAGAGTAGATGCTTTTAAAATAAAAAAATCAGTGTAAAAAAGGTTCAAACATTCATACACAAATGTTAATAAATTATATACAGTATTTCTCCCTACAGAGAATTACGTTATGTTTTGAGAACTGTGTAAGTTTTCTGAATTTTACCCTTATATGTAATTATTTATGTAAACGATGCATCATAGCCTGTAATATCAGTATGGAGTGAAGGACTAAAACTTCTTGTGTGTTTGTTTACACAGACACAGAACAGTTTTTTTTTTCGATTTCTTGGGACTCGGGATCCAAATTTAACAGGTTTATGCAGCTAATTCCCTGTCCGAATCTTCCTATTCGGACGAATATATTCTGAATCCGGTCTATTCCTTTTGACCAACTGTGTATATTATTTACTAGAGAAAATCACTAGATAGTCAGCATATATTGGGTATTTGACTAGTGGTTGAAGAAGTTTGCCAATATTGTTTATGCTCATCAAGAATAGAGTAGTACTTTAGACTGATCCTTGTAGTATGCTATTTTCTTTAAGATGTATTACTGAGAATTTTCCGTTGATAGAGACTCTGAAGGTTCTATTAGACAAAAAGTTCTCGAGAAAGTAATATACATTACCATAAAATTCGACTTTCTGAAGTGTCTCTAGGATTAGATTTCTGAACTGTATCTATATCGAGAGGTCTGCTGTTTGGACTCCCACATAGGACTATGGCAATTAAAGTCCCTGACTAGAATAAATGGAGTTGGACGCTGATTTATTAAATTTGTGACTTAAGTTTGAGAGAGATTGTAATTTGGAGGAATGTATAAGTTGCATATTACGATTTTATGTGGTCACCAAGCGGTTATTGTTATATGCTTCAAGACTGGTGTCTACCTTTGTAGAGGAACTGAAGATTGATATTCCATTTGCTCTCAGGTGAGAAGTTCTGATAAAATGGGAACCAATGAAGTTTTGTAGATGTGTATGAAATTGGGTGAAGTTTGTTTCTGGGAGACAGAAAAAGCCTTCTTCTTTTTATATAGACATGATTCTGTCTGTTTTTCTTACCTCCAGTAAGTTGTTGTTCCATTGTTTTCGTGGTATTCCTATTGGGGAACCATCTTTATACTTTATTTGTTGTCATTCAGCTTATTTGATCGTTCCATTCTAGTCTTCTATTTCTGACTCAGTTCTTGATGTTCTCCACCTTGCATCTGCGTCGTATTTCTGTGTACTTCTAGCTCTGTCCCATAGTGTCTTACAATCAATTTTTCTGTCCTTTCAACTCTGCTGTTTGTAGCATCCTTTTTGTCTTCTCTGTGTCAGGTCTTTTTGTAGTTCTTGATTTGTAAATTTGACGTTTTGTAAATTCTTGATTTGATATCTTTATTTCTCTGTATTGTTTCATTCAGGCAGCCTACTTTCATATGCCTAGATATTCAATATACAGAAAAAGTCAGAGGAGAATTCAGAGGTAAGATGTTGAAGGTATTCCAAGTGTGGATAAAATCCAACGCAGTTCCACTGGATTAAAATGCAGTATAAAGTTTATAAGTAAGTCTATTTAATAAAAGGATCTAAAACATAAAAGTGAGCTGTCCGATGCAGTCTTTGTTAGTTTGATCTTGCGAAGATTGAGTATTATTATCTATATAGGCGTGTCTTGCCTTATTTAGCGAATTTTTTGTAATTCTTGTGAACCTATTTTTGAGCGATCTGTTATCTAGATTTGGGTATATACTAATCAGATCAAATATAAGAGAATCGACATTGTTTGTGAAACGTTTAGCTTCGTCTAGTGTATTACTGCTTCCAAGTGCATTTTCTAGGAAGGTAACGAAATTTTGAAGTTACAAAGATGCTTTATATATATCTAGTATTATAGTCTTAAACTTTGCAGGTCTTATGGACACTTCAGTAATATCCTTCTTGATCTTATTTTAGTGGGTTTTATTTGGTCATTATGTTTGGGTGTGAGTGGTGTTCGAAGTATCCAATATGTTCATTCCAGAGGGTGAGAATATATCAGATTAAGGTGAAAAAGACAGCAAATATTTGATTTCACGCAAACAGCGCCTTTGTATCTGTTGATACGTATTTCGACCTAATAGGTCTCAACAGAACAGTTATTCAAAGGTGTTCTCAACGTGAAAGATCAATATTTTCTGTCTTTTAAGAAGCAACACTAAAATGGCTTCGATACAGATGCAATAGCGACATCTGATAATAAAACCGTAAAATAGTTTCGAAACACAATTCAGATTTCCGCTTTAATCTGTGCTTTCTAAAAATTGCAAAGCAAAACAGACATTGATGAAGATGTTAAAAGAGACGTGAGGAATCTAAAATTTGCATTCCACGACACGTCTTTTCAACTAAGCAGATTTACGGTTTTATATATCAGATTTTATATAACTCTTCCTCTATAATCACCTCTTTTATTCCCAATGATTCGTTGAGATAACGATTGGGCTGTGGTTGGCAGTGGAGTGTCTAATAGTTGATGCTATGCTAATATTGATCGTGTTTTGAGGACTAGGATGTAGGAGTTGAGACGTATTTTGTGTGTTAGTGCAATTAGATGCTATTTAACTGGTCTGTCTACAGAGAAAACATTGCATCTTCTCCGTAGAACTGGAATCACTGTCTAGAAGTATATGAGGTATGGTTGGACAGACATTGGATAGTATGACTCCATTTAGCAGGTGTTACCAGTCTTATGATGGGAAGTTCTAAATTACTTACTTTTACTGTGAGATTGTTCTCTGTTAAGTTTATCAATGTTTACATTATCATATTGTGTTATTTAAATAAATGCAGATTCTGTTGATGTTCTTCGGTCCAATGATGTCGCCTATTGAATTAACATAGTTAAATAGTTTTAAGTTATCAATTGAGTGAAACAAGATCGCTTGTTCTTTTTATTAAAACGTCGGTTTTGGAATTGATTTTGCAGCTGCTACATATGAAGTAAAAAATGGAGAGTTGGTGGCATTAAGATTAGACATGTTTTCTTTCATTATATGGGTACTGGTATTATTTTTGTCGCCCTCGTAGTCAAAGGGGACATCAGGATTAATACTACTAACTTGAAAAGTTTGTATTTATTTAATGGCAGTAACCAGTTATACCTCGTAAAGTGAAACTAGTTGCCTATTCTGGATTGACAATTAGCATAAATTTTAGACTGCTTTGAATTTTCTTATCGCCCTAATGGTACAAAAAAGAATATTAGTATATTTACTTACAGCTTCAATATACTGACTCATAGATGATAAGATGCACGAAGATAATATTACTAGTCGACGCACAGCTCTGTGATCTTCGGACAGTCCAAAAATTTTAAATATTTATTACTTACTATCTAAAATCGAAGAAATATATCACGACTTGCTATAAAGGATCTAACTCGTATTAGGTGAGTCTAGGAACTCCCAAACTCTTTTAAAATAGGTAATAATAAGAATAAAAACAAAAATTCAAATTTTACAAAATATTTTGTGTTTTAAATTTAATCAATAAAAACTGACATTTTTTTCTTATTAAAATAAAATCTTCTAAGACTAATTTATTGTCCCCTGAATATCTGTAAGATGATCAAATGTCCTTTTAGTAATGTTTAATTCACAGTACATTTCACTCAAACCGCAAAAATCCATTAGACTTAAACCCGCTAATCCAAGATATGTGTGCATGGGATCCGGTACTACATTAACCCACTTGGAAAAACCGCCATACCTATCCTGGGTCATTAGAACGAATTGATTGTTATTGCTATTATGAATAAAATCGTAGGCATTTAAAATTTTCAAGGCTCCACCAGTCCAAAAGGAATAACATGTGTCAATAGGTTTGTTGGGTCTACCACTAAATCCTCCATCAAATCTGAACAAAAGCCAACGTCTTAATGCATGAAATTGTGCTTTTGATAGTTTGTCTAGGTTGTTGCTTAAAGCTAAGGCTGCGACTGCGCAGAATGTTGAGCCAGAATGTGATTCCAGTTCTGGTCCCTGACCAATTCCTCCATCATATGACTGAAACCAATAAATATGTTAAAAACCTAATAATTCTAAATAAAATGTCATCTAAAAAACATTAGGGATTTTTAGTAAAGCTACTGTAATATTTTCAAAAATTGATTTTTGTTAAAATCCGTAAAATAGTTTTGAAACACAATTCAGATTTCTGCTTTAATCTGTGCTTTCTAAAAATTGCAAAGCAAAACAGACGTTGATGAAGGTGTTAAAAGAGACATGGGGAATCTAAAATTTGCATTCCACATGTCTTTTCAACTAAGCAGAAATCCTTAGCGAATTGGTTTCTTGTACTCGTACAGAGTAAATCCGAAAAAATGAAAAAGAGAGCAAATATTTGATTTCACGCAAACAGCGCCTATGTATCTGTTAATACGTATTTCGACCTAATAGGTCTCATCAGAACAGTTATTCATAGGTGTTCTCAATGTGAAAGATCAATATTTTCTGTCTTTTAAGAAGCAACACTAAAATGGCTTCGATATGGACGCAACAGCGACATCTGATAATAAATCTGTAAAATAGTTTCGAAACACAATTCAGATTTCTGCTTTAATCTGTGCTTTCTAAAAATTGCAAAGCAAAACACACGTTGATGAAGGTGTTAAAAGAGACATGGGGAATCTAAAATTTGCATTCCACATGTTATTTCAACTAAGCAGAAATCCTTAGCGAATTGGTTTCTTGTACTCGTACAGAGTAAATCCGAAAAAATGAAAAAGAGAGCAAATATTTGATTTCACGCAAACAGCGCCTATGTATCTGTTAATACGTATTTCGACCTAATAGGTCTCATCAGAACAGTTATTCATAGGTGTTCTCAACGTGAAAGATCAATATTTTCTGTCTTTTAAGAAGCAACGCTAAAATGGCTTCGATATGGACGCAATAGCGACATCTGATAATAAATCCGTAAAATAGTTTCGAAACACATTCAGATTTCTTCTTTAATATGTGCTTTCTAAAAATTGCAAAGCAAAACAGACGTTGATGAATTTAAAATATTTCTCGACTCTATAACTCGAAAACTATTGACTTTAGAGAAAAATTACAACAGAACTTTTTGTGCAAAATGACCCAAAAAAACTTTAAAAAAAATTGGACCGGGCAGAAAAAATTGACTTATTATCGCAATTTGTTAAAAAAAAATGTTTAAACAAATTAGGACCACTTTTTTAATGGTTTGCTTTTACCTTCCTTAGTTACCCTCTTGACCGTACTTTCTGAAGCACCAATTGATTGCGCTACTCGCCCTATTAGAGATAAAAGAGTTGTGTATTAATAAAAACCTTTTTCCCGATTTTTAACTAAATAAATGTTACAAGATCATTTGCCTCACTTGGCTATGTACCACTTTTATATTGTTACTTTCCCTGTAAAACCACGTGATTTTAGATAATAGATAAGATATTAAATGCCATTTTAATATCACATTTAAAAAAATTACAAAAAATGTTAAATGAATGAATTGAACAGAGTACTTTAAAAGTGTGTAAAGCATTTAATTTCTAACTAAGTGCTTTCGGCTTTAAACGCTCTGGGAATTATATGCTTTATACAGTTTTAAAAAACTTTTCTTTTCAATTCATTCATTTATCATAAGTTTGTACAAAACACTACAAAAGCTCTGCGGTACCACCTGGGGAGCATCGGCATCCACTCTCTGCTCTACTGCTTTAGCCCTTGTTTTCTCGACCGCTGAATATTGTGCCCCAGTTTGGCTACACAGTCCACACGTAAAAAAGGTCGACACTCAGCTGCACAGCACTATGAGGATGATAGCTGGTACAATTAAATCAACTCCCACCCAATGGCTTCTTGTATTAAGTCACATTCTACCTCCACATTTACGACGAGTTGACGCACTTACACGTGAATACAAAAAGATCATGAACAATATAAACCTGCCGATCCACCAAGATACCGAGGATGCACGAAATACCCGTCTACATTCTAGAAAACCACCAATGAAAACGGCAAGAATGATATATGAGGAGTTCAACATCACAAATGCATGGTCCCAAGAATAGAATGCATGGCAAAATAACATGCCCTGTATTACCCACAAGCCACCAGGTTTTGATCTTCCACATAAAACATGGTCCACTCTAAACAGGATCCGAACCAGACATGGCAGATGTGCATACATGCTACATAAATGGGGAAAGAATCCGTCTCCTCAATGTGACTGTGGGAAGGACCAAACGATCGACCACATTATTGAAGAGTGTCCCTCAAGATCCTATAACGGTAGTCCTGAAGACTTCCTGTTTGCAACTTCAGAGTCAATTGATTATGTTAATACACTTGATGTTTGTTTGTAATTATTTAAAGTTTGTCATATACCTATATTACTAGTGTTTGTAATTTTGTTCTAAATGTGTTGTAATTGCCATACGATAAATAAATAAATGTACAAAACATATCAGTTATTTGCAAAAAGTATTAAAATAAACATAATTTAATTTACATTTTTAGTATCTCAGTAAAGTATTAAAAACGACTGGTAGCAGAGAAACAATAAAAATACTCCAACTATTTTACTTATGCAAAAACTAGTTCAACTCCTTTTTGCTATGAAAATGCTCTTAACAAAATTAAATGTTTTCAATGCCTGATTTCATCGTTTCATTCGTAGATTGACATAAAATGAATACATTGGGTCCATGAGATTGTGAACTCACTCTAAATACCTGTTGGAAGACTAAAGCTCAATAACTTTCATGTTGATTTCTGTAACATACTTTAACTCTACAGCTTTTTCCAATGGGCTCAGTATTCCTTGAATCTATAGTCAAGTGAAATGTTCATCTCTCAGAGATTTGATTGTATGTTGTCTTTCCATTGCATTCTGGAACATCCAAGTGATCTTTTTCCTGTGGGAACCTCATCCCTAACTAGTTTTACAAGTTTAGTTTATTTGTGTATATGTTTTTATTCTTTTTCTTCAATTGCGTTGGTCATTGTAGAACAGACAGCAGTTTGCATCCTCAATTCTGCTTATTATTTCTTCAGTGATATCATGTTCAGCCATAATTATTGCTCAAAGATATTTGAAATGCTCAACTTCAAATTATGTGTGTTGAGTGTGGATGGTTTGTTTTGTTACACTCATTCACATTTACTTGGCTTTTTCTTCATTGACTTTCAGTCCAACTTTTTCCCATTGCTCCCTAAATCTTGAGAAGTTAGTAGTGTTGTTGTTATTTTAGTTGATCTCACAGCTTTTTCTAATATGAGATCAAAAATAGCAGTGATAAAGCATCACCACGCTTCAGTCCAAAGTTGCTGTATAATCTATTATTCCCATATATTTATGATACTCCACCTTAGAGCTCTTTGCTATTGAGAGCTCCACTAGTGCATTCCAAACTTGATTTCTGTATATAAGTACACTTAATGAATTTTATTTTATCCTCCTATCTATCCACAGTGCTTTTTCGCCATATTTTAGAAATTCTGCTAGTATTTCAGTCCCACAAGCTTTGTGGGTTTTTAGTCTGTTTAAGGCTTTCTGGACTTCTTCAAATGAGAGTTCTTTGATTGGCATATCCTCTGTACTGTAGAGTTCTTCTTTGTGTGATTCGGTTGGTATTATATTAAGAAGGTGCTTGAAATATATCCATTTATACCCACATATATCCTTTCATGAGTTTTATCTCTTTGTGTATTAAATATATTGAGATACTAAGAACAGCTCAAGAAAGAGAGCAATTTGCTGTAGTTATAGCCAACCTTCAGTAATGGAGAAGGCACCTTAAGAAGAAGTGTATCAAATGGCCTTCGTTATTCCTTAGTATTGGTTCTGCAATTTCCTTTCTCTGAGACAATTGTTCTCTTTCTATTGCTTCAATTTTTTTATTATGATTTCTTTCTTTTTTCTTATTAATTCTCTTATTTCTTTTCAGCAGTCATCATATTTCCTTCTACTTTTTTGTTTGTTTATGTAACCATCTCTTTCTTATTATTTTCTTTTTGTTTTTAGTAGATTTCAACATTCTTCATCATATCTATCAACATTTTGTCTTCTTTATTTTTCATTCATAACCATATTTTTTATCTGTATTCTATTGTGGGCTTCAATTTATTATATTTGGGTGTAAATATTCTGGATTTGACTTTTGTTCTAAGGAATAATCTGTGTCTATCTATTATATTCTATTATATTTGTAGTAATATAATAACCTATTCCTAAAATTTTCAATTTTAGCTATATGCAAGAATTTTTAACATCTAAATTTCTTATGCATGAGAAATCTCACTGCAAAAACGGAGTGATGTTAGCATGTGGTATCCTCCCTTTCTTAGTTCTAACTTATAACATCTTACAAGGAAAAGAGAGGCTGCAACTAAACCAGAATCAGTACTGAATTAAGAAAGCATCACAAACAATTTTACATCATTACATTTTTAATTTGTAAATATCATATTTACTTTTACTATTTTTTTTAGTAGTTTTGAATAACGGTAATATTACAGTCAGTATAAAATAAATGGAGCATTTTTACATTATTTATTTTTAAATTATTTTTATTTTTGATTAAGTATTTTGATTATTGATAAATATACTAGTTATTAATTTAACCTCCTACAAAATACTTACAATACTGCTCAATATAAAATCTACCATAGCATCTATGTCTATACAACTCCAATCATCCAATATGTAACAAATGCATGCTGCACAATATGAAAACCTCATATCACTTTCTACTCCATCTTTAGCACCTTTAAATGATCCATCTGGTAACTGTAATGTTTTAAGACCTACAATTAAAATAATAAATGTTTAAGGGCATCTTAATTTTTATTATAGTTATTGAAAATAATTGTAAATTATATAAGAAATCTTATATAATTATTTTATTTTTTATTATATTTATTGAAAATAATTGTAAATTATATAAGAAATCTCTATTTGACAACTTCACACATTGAGCTTCTCTATTCACAACAACCCAAACAATTCTAGTTGATTCCAGAACAAGGAAATTATTCAGAAAACCTTTGACCCAATTATGATGTATCTCATATTTTGGAATACATGAAAAAAAGCCTCTGAACTGCCACAGCTATAAACAAAATATCAGGAAGAAATAATTTTAGACCAATATGTAGAAACACGAAAAACAATGTATTATTACAAAACCATCCATCTATCCATTCAAGCACTGGCCTTCCTCATCAAACCTCTCCATTTTTTACAATCTATAGCCATTCTCCTCAATGATCAACTGCCAAGAAGATTTCTGACTTCCAATAGGTCTCTTCTCCTGTATTGCATTCAACAGTTTTTTAGAAGCCTGTTTTCTTTCATCCTAAATACATGGCTTGCCCTTTGAAGAAGCTGTAGGCAAACATACCAAGATAAAGGTAGTTCTTTATACATATGATATATTTCATAACTGTATCTGATTCACCACCTGTTCTAAGGACTCAGGTACTAGGACAAAATGAAAGAACTAGCAGAACCTGCAATTAGCTATAATAAAAAATACAAAGACCTTCTATGTAAAATGTAGTCAAGATATAACCTATTTTTCAAAATGTTTTCACCATCACACAGTTATCAATGACTATATTGTAAAAAATATATGTAATAGAAAAGAAACTAAAACTTTACTTACTATTTAAAATAGCCTGCCTATTGACTTTTTTCAAATCATCTCCAAGTATTAATAAAGTTGTTAAACATACATATGTATTGGCTATATGGGACCATTTATAAATACCATGTGTTTCTTTATTGTTAACTGTATTTAGAGTTGTTGATCCTTGAAAACCACTTACTAGTTCTAAAAATAAACACTTTTAAAAGATTCCTAAAAGACTGATACCAAAAATATATTGGAAGGTCTATAGAAAAACACAAAACAGCTGTGTTTATAGGCAACCAAATGTTTTGTTAATCATACAATAATTAAGATTGATTTATATACATAAATTGCCCAAAAATCTTAAATTTATACGAACACAATACTAATACTACAGAAGATAAGATCAATGAATCTATTAAGTCAGCTTTTTAATTGTAGCTTACCATCTTCATTAACAACCTGTAAGGAATATATCCACTCTATAATTGACTGTCTTCTTTCTTTTGGAATATTCTCAATTTCTCCTAATATATCCAAGCCTGATACAGCAAAGTACATAAGCACCGATCTATAAAAAATTGATACATTTGTGGTTGCTAAGGATATATTAGGATAATTGTAATTTACCTATTTGTGTCCATTGAGCTGTTAGAAGATGGCAATTTACCATTTAATATGAATAATAAGTACTTTTTGTGCAGTTTTGGGGCAAATTTATGAATATTTTCTGTTTCCATTATAATTTTTTTATAAACAAAATAGTAAAGAAGTTTAATTTAGTCTTAGTCCACGCCCCCCATTACCTTGATTTTGACGATTTTGACAACTTCAGACAACTTAAATCTGACTTAAATTCTAATTATCTTGTCATTTTCAGTACCTGGTAGACTATCCAACCAGGATAGGTAACCTCAAAGTAGGCAACACACAAATACACTAAAATAATTACCGTTTCAAATCACGTAGACAAAGTATATTGCTTAAATCTTAAAAAGAATTAACCGTTTCAAGCATTAAACTGTGTCGTAGATATTTACAGATATTCTACTTCTACCTATATCTCATAATAATCATAATTGTTTGTGTCTATATATGTGATATAATTATCTCTATATTCGTAAAGTATGAAATAATTGTCAGATATGCCCATAGAATATTATTAGGGAATGGTATTTAAAATTTAAAAATATTTTTCGTGTGCGATTTTCAATATGCTTGAAATTTTTAAGGTAAAATTTTTATAGTTCACTGTCTATGGGATGAGTCATAAGAGATAATGCAATATGCAATCAACACGGACTATAAGTTGCCGAGTTTTCTGCAAATATCTCCAAATCATACTTTGTTTTGTTCTTCTTCTTCTTTCAGTGCCCTGTCCGATTATCGAACGTTGGCGATCATATTGGCAATAATAACCTTATTCACGGCGGCTCTAAATAAATTAAAGGTGGTTTCTTGATACCATTCTCGGAGATTTCGTAGCCAGGATGTTCTTTGTCGGCCCGGGCCTCTCCTTCCGTCGATCTTACCCTGTATTATGAGGTGTAGAAGGTTATACCTCTCTCGATGTCTCATTACATGACCGAAATATTGTAACTTCCGAATTTTTATCGTTTTTGTTATTTCCGTGCTCTTTTTCATTCGATGTAAAACTATTTCATTTCTTATTCGATCAACCCAACTTATCCGCAATACTCGTCGATAAATCCACATCTCAAAGGCCTCTAATCTTTTCATTAATGTCTCTGTAAGGGTCCAGCTCTCCATACCATACAGCAATGTGGAGAATATGTAGCAGGGTATTAATCTGATTTTAAGATTTAACGTAATATCTCTATTAATTAGAATTTTCTTTAATTTATAGAAGGCGGCTCTGGCTTTTTCAATGCGTATTCTTATTTCTTTATTTATATCCCAGTTATCGTTAACGTTTGCACCCAAGTAGGTAATATTGTGGACTCTTTCTAACTCTATTCTATACGCTCTGATGTTCGTTGGTTGTAACTCCGTTTTGCTGACAACCATAAACAACCATTTGTTTTGTTGCAGGGGCCTTTATTAATATGGCGTCTACCAAGAAACATAGGCAGGAGTAGTCAGAAGAGAACAAGAATATGGTAATTAAACACATCCAAGAAAAAAAGATGAGATGGCTGTTGGCTTCCAAAACTTTTAATGTTCCGGCTACGACACTCCGTAGACGTTTTGCAAACACCTCCGGTGGAAGAAAAGGAGATTTGTGAGGCCGAAGAATTACACTACCTCCTCATTTTGAACAAGAGTTAGCTACTCATGTGATTGATATGAAAACAAGATTTTTTGGTCTCACAATGCTAAATTTGAGACGATTAGTTTTCGAAATTGCTGAGAGAAATAACATCAAACACAAATTCAACAAAACGAGTCGTCTTGCTAGATGAAAGTGGGTAAGTGGTTTTTAAAAATAAATAGTACTATTTCACTCAGAAGACCAGAAAATACATCTCTCGCACGATCACAAGCATTTAATAAGAACAATATTAAAGCATATTTTATCTCTTTAGCAAAAGTTTTAGATATTCGAGGATTATTATGAGAGAGATTTGGGCTATTGTGCGTTTGTTTTGTGTTTTGCCTATGTTTATATGCATTGTCTCATTTTCTAGATCAATTTTTAGGTCGTTTGTTGTTTGTAAATTTTCTTTCGTTATATGTATGTATAGTTTTTGCTGTTGGGTAGTTAATGGTTGGGTTTTTTGTTGTATGCTATCTTCTTTTCTCCTTTCTATGCTTCTTCCTTCCTGGGACATTGGCAGTTTTTTGTTAAGTGGTTTGCTTACATGCTTGACAAGTTTATATCTAATGATAAGTAAATCCTGTATGTTATTTCCTCATGTCTAATAAAGAATGAATCAGGTGGGGTTTGGTTACTTAGTGGAGAATGTATGTAGGTTTGGCGTCTGAAGCTCAAAATATGTTGGAATTGTGTTGTTGACGTGCCTATCCTTAGAAATACGAAAGACGAGAGAAGATTTAATCCATGTGATTTTAGTGCAGGACTGAGTGTAGGATTGAGGGACAAACATTGGGCAATACCAATCGCTGACTGAGACTAATTAGTCTACGACACTGAAGTCTTGTTGGTTTATTTTAATTTTTTCATTTTTGTATAAAATTTTTAACTAGTTCTCGTTTGCTAAATATATACATACTCTGTAATTTTATAAATCTTGAACAGAAAATAATGTGGATTGGTTGTATCAGAAGACTCAGATCGGATAGGTCATCTTCTTGATTTTCAATTGCATCGAACATAATTGCTTGTTTTCTTGATGCAAAGATATTGGTGTGTGGTGATTGATTGGTTACGGAAGAATATGTAGGTTCTAATTGATTTGAAGAAGAGGTATTTGGTGTATTAATAGTAGTAGAAATTTCATATTGAATAGAACTATTCATTTGGAGTTACCATTTGATTCATTGAAGCAAACAACCTATGTCGTAGTCCGTAGTAGAACGAGTTTACCTGTTCGAATTTTTGTACGTTATCTGCTTATATTCCGATATTTAATAATAATAAAAACTGTTATGATTAAAGTAACTTAAGTCTCTGAGGTGTTTATTGTTTGATATTACACTACTGGATCACTAATTAATGAAATATTTTTTAGTATTACTTTAGTTTTTTTTTTAATTAATTTGCGGAGCTCGATTTTAAATACTGTTACGAACATGTATTCGTCGTGGCCCATGTAACGGTTGCATCTCGAAAGCGACTAGAAGTTTCCAGCGATGTATGGAGCGCGAGAGAGATCGACCCGTCAAATAGTCGAATTAGAGGTGGGCTACTCCAGAACATTCTAGTACATAATAACTTTTATATATAAGCATACCTTCTATGAGTTAAGTTTAGTTGATAAGATATTTTCGTGCTGTAAACTTATGAATACATATATTTATATAAATTCGAACCGCTCGTTTTATTTAATCTCGCTACAATACGTATTTGATGAACTTAACAGTAAGATTCTAATATTTTTTCTGTTAAGGTCCATTTTCTTAACTCATATACTTTTTTTGAAGCTTGAATTATATATTTATGCCCACAACTCGTTTATATTTTCTGGTTTTCTATATTCTGTACATTTAGTATGGGTAACGGGTAGGAACTCCTTTCGGATAGTCCTATCAGGGAAGTGAATCAATCCCTGCCTTCACAACGGTCTGGAGAGCGGAGGTGGCAGCCCTATGGTTTTAGGGATTGTATAAAACTAGCACTGGAAAGTGGCAACTGGCTGATCCAACACTAACCACAGGCAGACTGAAATGGCTGTGAATTAGATAGCATGTGGCGTGGTGACATTCACAGAAGCGGCACATGTACAGCGGTGTAGAAGGCAACGGGAAACCACTACACTAATATTTCCCCAGCAAAATTACATAATGCTCATGGAACCTAAAACAACGGCCCTCAGTCCCGGGCACCTCTTAAATGAGGAGAGGATGCTAAGAATCCCCCGGAGGAAAACAAAAAGAATAGGCACATGGAATGTTAGAAGTCTATATGAAGCGGGAAAGGCCGCAAATTTAATTCAAGAAATGGAAAGACTTGATATCGATATACTGGGATGCAGTGAGGTAAGATGGCCAAATACAGGTACCTGTGTGATGGGCAACTATACAGTATTCTATTCTGGAGATGAAGGCACTCAAAATAAAAACGGTGTAGCAATAATTACATCTAATGAAATTGCAAAATTAGTTTCTGGATTACTACCAACATCAAATAGAATAATGCTAATAAAAATAGACAGCAAACCAGTCAATATGAATATTATCCAGGTATATGCCCCAACTAGTCAAAGCACAGAAGAAGAAATAGAACAATTCTACGAAGACCTAAACAAAACTCTACTGCAGACAAAGAAGCATGAAACCAACATAATATTAGGAGATTTTAACGCCAAGATTGGAAAAGGAAGAGAAGATGACACGGTGGGGGAGTTCGGCCTCGGAATAAGAAATGAGAGAGGAGATAGACTGCTTCAGTTCTGTAAAGAAAATCAGTACAGTATAATGAACAGCTTTTTCAAGTTACCACCCAGACGTCTGTACACGTGGAAATCTCCAGCAGATGGAATAGAAGGACGAATCAGAAGAAATCAAATCAATTACATAATGGTCAACAAAAGTTACAAAAACGCCGTAAAAGCATGCAAGACATACCCCGGAGATGACATCCCCACCGACCACAATCTTCTTGCAACAATTAGGATAGAATTTAAAAGAACAAAAAGAAATAAGCAAATAATAGCTATTAACCTAGATAAGCTTAAAGAAGAATCCACTAGTAATAAAATACGGGAACAAATACATAGACACTTTAGTAACAGAACAGTACAATCGACATAAACTCCCGAGGAAGAATGGCACTATATTGAGAAAACACTTACAAGAGTAACAGAAGACTACCTCAAACAAGATACACGAAAAAAGAACAAACCATGGATGACAGAAGAAATTCTAAACATGATGGACGAAAGAAGAAAATACAGAGGTAAAAATGAAACAACATACCGTAAGAAGAAGAAGTACATTTAGTTTTTCAGAGTATTTGGGTAGTTTTTGTTTGATAGCGTGTGATTATCAATTCAAGATTTTTTGGAAATATTGCTAATATATTTCTCTTCGTTCCTTACCTATTTCTATGGTAATTTAAAAGTAATGAACATAATAAAATAGGCATATTAACTAATACAAAAAACAATATATATTTATTAAAAAAATTTAACAATTTATAAAGATATTTAAAAAGAGTTACAATTAAAGCTTGTAATAACGCCAA